ATCCAAGGGTCCCAGACTAGAAACCCTAAGTCTATCATAGTTCCTTACTCTTTCAAAAAAGAAAAAAAAAAAAAATCCGTACTGTAGGATATCCCACCCCAGCTGTGATCTTTACCTCTAGGCAGACCTCTGGAAAACCTTGTATGCTTTCCTTGAGTGCATCTCACATCAGAAGAGAGAGGAATCATTCCATATTCATGCTCCTGGCACTCACCCACTCACAGTATTGTGGCTAAAATAGGAACCTATTCCTGTCCTCTTTGAGGACTCAGTTCAGATCATTCACTCACAGAGCTCTCATGAGGCCCATTTTAAAGCTTATGCATGTGGAAATCACCTCCCCTGAGTTTCATCTTTCCAGCATCTCAGGAGACCCCTTGATCTCCCTTCCCTCTCTTCTCTGTTCAGGAGGAACAGGGCCCCACAACTGTTGTCGGGATTTTCAGGTGTTTCCTGAGGAATGGATGAGGAACATTTGAAACTCAAAAACTAGCTGATGTAAGGTCGGGAACCAGGGCTTGGTTATATGACCCGACGAGGCTCAGCATCATAATTTAGTTTATCTCCAAGGGTTAGTGGATATCAATTGTCTTCAGGGTTCGTATGTACCTCTACTGCTCCTAGAACTTACGGATTCCAATTGCATTTTTGTCCTTCCTGTTGACTTTGGTAAAATTAGTTCTTATCTACTGGAACTTCAATGGATCTGTTAATAGTCATGCAGATTCATGACATTCAGGTTTTTTGTTTGTTTTGTTTTGTTTTGTTTTGAGACACAGTCTCGCTCTGTCACCAGGCTGGAGTACAGTAGCGCCATCTCGGCTCACAGCAAACTCCGCCTCCTGGGTTCAAGTGATTCTCCTGCCTCAGCCTCCCGAGTCCCTGGGACTACAGAAGCGCATCACCACACCCAGCTAATTTTTGTATTTTTAGTATTTTTGTATTTTAGAGATAGGATTTCACCATGTTGGCCAGGATGGTCTCGACCTCTTTACCTCGTGATCTACGCCCCCTCGGCCTCCCGAAGTGCTGGGATTGCAGGCGTGAGCCACCGTGCCCGGCTGACATTCAGCTTTTTATCTTAAAATTATATTATTTGTAGCTCAATGCCTTTTTTTTTGCCAGATACACAATAAGGAGCATAGTCTTTATTCACAGAATCTAAAAAAACAGTGTGTAATATAAAGAAAATAGTTGCCACAAATTTTCATAGCACTATCAATACTGCATAGATGGTAATATGCTAAAGAGAGCCCATAGAAAGCATCTTTGGGACAGGGGAAAACTTCTCAAAAGAAATATTATTCAAACTAGTAACTGAAAAATAAGGAAGGTGACATATATAGTGTTCGTATAAGTGGGGTACAGTTTAACTCTATAAAGAAAGAAAAAATACACAGGCTATGGGGAAAGAGAAAATATGACAAACTCGGATCAAAAGAATTCTAGCAGAGCTAGTGCAACAAAACATGAGAAAATTTAACACAAGAGAATTTGCGGTAGCCTGATGGTTTTTGTTAATCCAAAATCATACATTTTACTTTAATGTTTGTAAAACGAAGAGCTTTTTCTACATGGTTTTCTTATCAGCTTTTCATACAACAGTCAAGTAGATTTCTTGGTACTAGTCAGAAATCATTGTAACTTTGGAACTTCAAGGTCAGCTGGCCTCTATCAATGGGCAGACAGCGACCCTCACTGGTGAGAGCATCAGGTTTTAACCAAGGGATTTCTCATCAAATATTCTCCCAGAGGTTTTGGAATTTTTTCATGTATCTTTGCATCTTCACAGAGCTGCTCTGCTATATCACTGAAAGACAGCGCCATTGTTCCTGCAACACGAGCAAACAAATCCCAGGTCCGACATCAAAGACTGGTAGCTTGTTTTAAGCATTAGAGTGTTTCAAATCTTTTAAGGTGTTTTAACTTTACCCTAAGCACAAGGAATATGAAGCAAGGGTTATGATTGGATAATCACTGTTATAAGTTTGTTTTGGCTAAAGAATGAGGAACACATTGGAAAAAGAAAAGAGTGAGTGAGGAGAGTATAAAATACAGGTGCAATAATCCAGGTGAGAAACAGTGTTGGTGTGGATGTGAACAGGTGTTGTCAGTAAGGCTGGCTAGAAGTGATTGAAAGAAAGATTCTATGACACAGAAAGAAAAGAACTTGGTGACTGATTAAGATGGTAGATTCAGGAGAGAGAACAGTGAAAGACGACATCTGCATTGTGATTTTATGTGAGTGGAGAGCAGCTCCACTTACTAAGGATAGGGATTACAGGAAGAGAACAACTTTATTAATTAATCATAGTTCTTTGTTGATTGGTTATTTTGCATTAAGAGCCATGTAACATACTTTGAAAAGAGATTTGAAAAGAGGGAGGAGAGCCAGTACACTTTTGAACATTCTGTGTGTGTAAGCAGTCAGGTAGAGATGTCTCCTAGTCGGCTTTGTATGCGTGCTCTTAGAGAACAACTAGGAGGAGAAAAGACAGGAAAATGATCAATAATCAGATTAGATTATTTAGATTAGAAACTTTATTTTAAATTACTAGTATTATTATTAAGAGCAAGGGCTCTGGAGCCAGTTTGCCTGACTGTAAAATTTAACCTGACAGTTCTGAGTTTTTCCAGATTCAGCATTTTACTTCCTCATCTATAAAATAGGAATGATTAGAGTTGCTGAAAGGATTGTTGCAGAGATTAAATAGATAATCTTAAGAATTATTGTGAAAATTATATGACTCAGTGTATATGTGTTAGCACAAGGTCTGAAAATATTAAAAATAAAGGGTAACTTTGCTTTGTTTTGTGGTTTTCTAAGAAGAGTATATAAGAGGGAAATATTTAGAATGGATTTAAATGAGCAAAGAAACAGGATATTTACATGAGAGTCTGTAAAGAATCAAAAAATAAAATTCATCTAGGATAGAAAGGTAAATAAAGACAAGAAGGAATCAGAAAAAAAAAAAAAGTCAATGTGTTGCAGGTCCTGGTGGTGCAAGAGAAAGTTGTATTAGGAGTAATTAAAGGAGAGAGCTAAAAAGAAAGTAAGATCATGTTCTAAGACTATTTAAAACTTCCCATGTTATTCTTAGTAGCTGCTCAGAGAAACACTCTTACAGGGTATATTTTGTTGTTTTTAATTGATGAGTGAAACAGGGCTCAGAGATCAAGTGATGTGCCATTTTATCAATTCCTCTTTCCACACTATGCCAAATATATGTGTGTTTCTTTGTTTTTAACAAATTTTCTTCATTTCCTAGAAATAATTAGACACAAGTAAAATTTACTGCATCCAAAAGTATAAAAGCTACGACATCTAGCCTTTTAAAATGAAATAGTGTTTTCTTTATGTCACCAGTTATACGCTATCCGTTTTATCTAGGTGAGTTTTGGGAGAAAAGTATATCGTAAAATCAGAATATAATTTTGAATATAAGATATTATAATAATTAGAATTGATTAATAACTATATTTCTATTAAAATTATATATTTAGTAAATGTTTCCAGAGATACTTTGATATAAAGAATATAAAGACCACACATGTTACATCTTTTTACATATTTTGTAAAAATAGAATTATCTTGTCTATTTCATTGTTTTCTTTTGAATTCATCTCCAGGTATCACTCTATTAGAAGTATTTACTATGTTGGACTTATTTATATCATGTTGCTTTATGATTCTTTAATGTATATTTCCCTTGCTTTTAAGATCTTGTTATAAATTCTGGGTTTTATTTTTATTTGTACACTGAGTGAACCACACATTTCAATTAGTTTACTTATTTTCTTCTTTCTTATAAGAAAAAAAAGGAGAAAAATCTAGTTAAAATGAGAAAAAGAGCTGGATGAATTATGAATAAGAGCAAACTAGATGGAAGATCTAAGTCAATTATTTTCAAAAGTTATTTCTGCAAATAACCATTTTCAATGGAGAAAAAAATTTTTCTACAAGAGAATCTATTAATTACAGGAAATCACTCCAAGAATGCTGGTAAAACATACGGTCATGCAATTCATCTTCCAATTTAACAAGAAAATTCAGAGCTAATTGCTGATTGAATACATTATTTCATTTGCCAATACATTTTCTATAGTATTGTTTAATGTACATCATTTTCCCTAGCTATCCTTACCTGTTGATTAACTAATAAAATATGGTTTCTCTTCTCATTTATTGATACACAGATTCTGGTAATGTTGACTCCTTCAAGGCATAAAATGCATTGGAAGCCCTAATAAACTTTTTTTTTTTAAATTGCATTTGTTTATAAATAAGCATATATCGAGGCTATACTGAACACAGAAAAAATGCAAAAAAGGAACAAAAACTCAGGCGTGCAAGAAATAGAAATTTATTTTATTATAGGTTATTTGGAACCTTCATCCCATTAGGTGGCAGACGCCAGATCTCATCGACTCAGAAACTTCTCACTAATCCTTGGTGGGCATCTAGCCAAGCTGGCATCTGCTAGAATCCAAGTTCTTGTTTGGCCCTTGGTTGTATTGGCAGAATGACCTCTTTTAGTTTTAATACCTTACTTTCACCTCCTTCTGATTCAGTCTAGTGCCATGCAGTACCAGTAAGGCAGTCTAAGACCTTTCATTACCTCTGATACACTGTCAGGCATACAGTAAATTATTAACCTGTTTTCCACGCAGTGTTGAGAAACTCCATCAAGCTATGTCATTCTACTATGTCTGTATAGATTCTGTAACCATTTCAAGTATCCTTGACCTCAGATAGGCATGAAGAGAAGTGATTCTGACAGAGTGGAAAATGACAACATAAAGCAAATCTATCTACCAATCAGAGCAACAAAACTAAGGTCAATGCCCTTAGGAGTGGGATGGGGACACAGAGAATTGGAGCAATGATTCTGTGTCTTTTAAATGACAGGAATGTCAGGTCTTTGGTTTTGAGCCACCTTGGAATCATATGACAAATCCATTCTGCAATGGGGAGATACCCCCAAAGTCATCAATTAGGTTCAAATTCTGTGAAAAGACAGAAGGCGACTGATGCCATTCTGTATCTGCTTGGTCTTAGTACTATAGATTATTGGATTTATAAATGGGAGGAAGACAATGCAGACATAGCTCATGATAATGTGAACTACATGTGGAACATTTTTTCCAAATCGATGAATGAGGGTTAGCCCAGTCACAGTGACATAAAAAACCAGAACACAGCTAATGTGAGAAATACAAGTATTTAGGGCCTTAGTCTGCTCCTTGCCTGAGGCAATTCCCATGACCTTCTCAAGGATCAGAATGTAAGAGATAAGGATAAGCACAAAGTCCAAGAAACCAGTTGATGAGAACAGGACAATAGGATAAAGTCTATTAAAGGTAAAGTCTGCACAGGCCAGTTTGATCACATCCTGGTGCAGGCAGAAGGCATGGGAGAGGACAAGGGATCCACAGTAGGGGAATCCAGAGAGGGTGGTGATTATGGGCACAATTGGCATAATAAATCTCCTCATTAGAACCCTCAAACCTATCTTCACCACCTTAGCATTGGTGAGAATGGAGGTGTATCTCAGGAGATTACGGGTGCCAATAAAACAGTCACGGGCCATGACGAGTAACACTCTGGACTCCACAATAGAAAGGGAGTGGATTAGACACACCTGGAGGAAGCAGGCTCCATGGCTTATTTTCCTGTGATCAGTTAGAAAATGCCAAGCACAGTGGGCATTGTTGTCAAAGTTACACTAAGGTCTGTGGCGCCAATATAGCCAGAGAGTAGTACATGGGCTCGTGAAGTGTGTAGTCTTCTCTGATAAAGAAGAAGAGGGTGCGCTTGCCAAGGACTGTAGAGACATAGATGACAAAAAAGGAGATAGAACTCCAAGGATGAAATCTCTCCAGACCTGGAAAGCCAGTGAGGAGAAAAGGGGCAGCACTAATGGTGGATGACATGGTGGATATCTGAGGAGAAACAAACAAAACAGCTCTCTAGACCAGCACTATGTGGTGGAAACAGAATTAGAGCTAAATATGTGATTTTAAATATTCTGGTAGTCACATTAAAAAGAATAAAAAGAAAAGTGATAAAATTAGTATTAATAACACATCTTATTTAAGCTACTATATCCAAAATATTATCATTGTAATAGATAATCAGCATAAAAATCATATATGAGATAGTTCCCACAATTTTTTTTTTTTATATACAAATTCTTCAAAATCGAGTGCTTACACTTACAGAAAATTCTGACTCAAGCTAACCAGATGCTACTGTTTTGGACAGCACAGCTCTAGATCATACTACTTCATCCTCAGTTTCGACTACAGTAGGAGAATAGGAAGCCAGACATATTCAAAATTTGAGAAAGGTTATGGGTCAGTTGCTGGTTTGAAATATAAGGAGGTCACAAAAGAAGGAATGCAAGAAGCCCCTACGTACAGAATGGGCATCCTAGCTAACAGTCTGAAAAACAAAACAAAAAAAAAAACACTGGGACTTCAGAGCTCAGCAGTAGGAAACTGAACTCTGACAGCCAGGTGTGGTGGCTCACTTAAGCCTGTAATCCCAGCACTTTGGGAGGCCGAGGCGGGCGGATCACCTGAAGTCAGGAATTCCAGACCAGCCTGGCCAACATGGTGAAACTCTGTCCCTACCGAAAATACAAAAATTAGCCAGGTGTGGTCACAGGCGCCTGTAGTTCCAGCTACTTGGGAAGTTGGGGCAGCAGAATCGCTTGAACCCAGGGGGCACAGGTTGCAAAGAGCAAGGGGTTGTGCCATTGGACTGCGAGAAAGGGGGAAACACCAAGCAAAAAAAAAAAAAAAAAAAAAAAAAGGAAAAAAGAAAAGAAACTGAACTCTGACTATAATCTGAATGAACGTGGAAGCGAATTCTTTCCTAGAGCCTTCAGAAAAGAGCCCAGTTCTCCTGACATTTTGAATTTAACCTTATAATATCCTAAGCAGAAAACTCAGTTAAGCCTACTAGAGTGTAGACCTACAGAAATGTGATATAATAAACTAATCATGTTTTTTTTTTTTTTTTTTTTTTTTTGTTTTTTTGGAGACTCAGTCTTTATTTTTTACCCAGGCTGGAGTGCAGTGGACGGATCTCAGCTCACTGCAAGCTCCACCTCCCAGGTTTACGCCATTCTCCTGCCTCAGCCTCCCGAGTAGCTGGGACTACAGGCGCCCGCCACCTCGCCCGGCTAGTTTTTTGTATTTTTAGTAGAGACGGGGTTTCACCGTGTTAGCCAGGAGGGTCTCGATCTCCTGACCTCGTGATCCACCCGTCTCGGCCTCCCAAAGTGCTGGGATTACAGGCTTGAGCCACCGCGCCCGGCCTACTAATCATGTTTTAAGCAGCTCAAGTTGCAGTAATTTGTGTATAACAATAGAAGACTAATGCAAAATATTACTATTATCCATATTTTATTAAGAGTTTATAGAGTTCTATAATAAACTAATATTTAGAGTTTATGTAAATTATTGTATCATTTATCTATTATCACAGAATTGTCACATGACAAAGTCCTGTATAACATCAATGGCTGACAACATTAAACATTTATTTTTCACTCTAATGCATGGTTCAACTTATTTAGGCTGGACTTGCCTGGGCAGCACTGATCATTTCTGCCCCATCTGCTCAGGTACATAGGGTGCAGCTGTATGTCCCCATCCTATTGTTTTCCTGTGTCTTTCTTCCTATATCTATCACCCTTTTGTTGTGTCTATTTCTATATCATCTCTTATTTTGCCCTCTCTAAACCCCAGATGTCTCTTTTGCATCACCCAGATTTTAGCATAAAACTTAGCACAAAATTTTTACTGTTTACATTCTTTTACTAGTCTCTCAGACCAGACCTAGTGGCTCTAACTCATTGTAGTAAAAAACACAGTTCTACTCCCACTCCAACACTAACATTGCTTACCTTACTAACTGTTGTATTAATACATCAGTGGCCCTGGAAGCAATGACAGAGTTTGACATATTGATTGTAAAGTCATTTATAAAATTTTAATTACTTTATGATTAACACATTGATCACTGACTGGTATGCTGATTGTTAAACTGACTTATGTAAAAACAATGACTTCAAAATATTACTAATATACTAATTGGCTAATGTATAAGCTGAAAATGTGGGAGCTACAAAGAAGAGGAAGAAGGAGGCAGAAAGGGAACATAGGTGGATGTAAGATAAAGAAAACCGAGCCTAGAGAACTGCATCCAGAGGAGGAGGAGATGTAGTATAGAGACCTACAGGTGTCATGGTGACCCCACCCTGCACATTCACTCCCAAAGTCAGTCTCTTTCCTCTCCTGCCTCTTCCAAAGAAAATTTCTATTGAAGGAAAAGTGTTCCTAATAGCGCTGAGCTAACAAGAACTTCTAGATGTCAACTCAGAACTCTTAATTATTCATGTAAGCACCCACCACATAAAACTACTGTTTTTCTTTCAGAGTTAGCATTTTCTAAGAAGTTCAACTTCTGTGTTAAAAGTTGATACATCTGGCAGAATCCATAGATACAGATATCTTGCCTCTTTTCTCTATTTACCCTCTTGCAACAACTATGTGGTGGAAGAGAAGGCCAAGAAGATTGTTCTTTATTTTCCTCTCAATTGTTGTCATTCCATTCTCCCATAGTCACTAGAGCCTGACCTGGGGTATCAGAAATTAAGGGGAGAGGTGATTGCTAAGTCCTGGTGTAGAAATTAGTTTAAATAGTGTATCTGAAGACTGCTAACAGGGTTAATTTATGAGGTTATTTGTATTCAAAATTGTTCCCCAATATCTCTCTTGATGCTGGATAATTAGGCTGCTGGGATTCTTTTTTCAAGCCTCTTTTGGAGAAGGAAGTGGGCTCCAGAACTGTGTTCTAAAGTCCCATATTTTCTTTGCAAAAAGAAAACAGAATTGTAGCTTCATCCAGCAGACGGAAGTCATGCTATCAAACCACCTTTGCCTTGTATGATTCCCCACCTTAAAAAGAAGATACCATGAAGCCTACTCTTGTTATTCCCTAATCCTGTAGCCAATAAGCTCACTCAACTTAGACAAAGCTTGATAAATCCTTCACACTTAATCTTTTCTTGGTTTCAAATAAGATTGTTTGTTATATATACTCACAAATGAGTACTGCTGATAAGTTCTTTCAAACAATAAGTTTGTTTTCTGTCTCTTGGTAAGTCTTGCCCAAGAATCAAGAGTTACTGCTTCTGGAGCAATATAAATCAAGTTTAAAAAATCTTATTTACTTTAAGTGTCCTGTAGTAATGTTAAAAAGGGGACATAGTGGAGGTATTCCTTACATCCCTGGCTTTCTCTGATAATTTGTACTTGAATACAATACTCGTAGTCTGTCAGAGAAATAAGGATCTGAGAATTTCTATTGTCTCATCAGTCTTGTGTCCTAAATTTATCCTGGAACTTCACTCAATATGAGATTTTTAAAATGAGTATGGGTACTTTGTGATGAACCATGCGGGTCACATCTTGGCCCCTGACATTTCACATCAGTTAAGTTCCTCCTGAACTGCCTTCTGCTCATAGGTCTTTCTAAATATAAGTAGAACAGTAGCAGGAAATCATGATTAAGAGTCAGTCTCTGGAAATGGCTTAAGTCTGAAAGTTTGTGTGTCCTGTTTGTACTCAGTGAAAATTAAGGTTTGGATTGATTTAGGGGAGCCATGCTTTGAATTTAAAATGAGGTGGGGGTAGTAAGACCCGGATATATTGATTTAATTTCAGGTTGCCCTCCTGTTTCATTAGTAGGTATATTGACCCTCTCACTGGTAGTACACTAATCTTCTGCCCCATAAATATGACTCTATTCCTGGAAGCATCACTTATCCTAGAACAGATATAAAGTAATTTCCTGCAGACTGCCCCAGAGTTGGGATAAAATCTCATGTGAAGTGACACTGTTGGTGGAGGATAAGCCTCCAGAGAATAGGAACAACTATTATCAGTCAACACTCAAAGTCACCAAGCTTAGGGGCACTGGGAGGAATTAGGCAGTGCACCCAAAGTATCTTCTATTTCCTTAAGTAGCCATTTATGTGTCTTTCCTTCATGTGTTTTCTAAGACCTTGTTCATTCTTTTCCTATTTCCTGCTGTATTGCCTGTGAAGTGAAGTATCATATCACAGCAGCATAATCTCAGATTGGGAAGGACCTCCATCTCCTGTAATAAAAGCCTTCTTTGATGCAGTGTTTCCTGACAAGGGTCATCCACTGAGTGCTTGTATCCTTCTAAATCATATAACTCAATATTTATTAGAATATCAGTTCTGAAAATACTCAGACAGTCACATTATTAGAAATTGCCTAACTTTTTAAAATGAAAATATTTTTCTGGTCTTCCCATTCGTTGGCTCTTGGCCTGAGCTCCGGTGTCACAGTCTATATCTAACTGCTGCCCTATATTACATACGGCATATAGGAAGGCAATATTCAGGTATTATAAGCTTATATTACTAATGATTCAGGAAGGTCTCTATCCTAGGATTTTTGCTGTTTGTTCAGTAAGTCTGTGCTGACAATACAGGCTTCTTTTTTTTTCTCTCTGTAGTTTGATTCTATTATCTGTCAGCCTACTGGATTCCACAATCATCTCTGAAGATTCCATCCTTTAAATCATCCTCTACAGGCTCTGATGGTTAGTTTTATATGCCAATTTGACTGAGCCATGAAGTGCCCAAATATTTGTCAAACATCATTCTAGGTGTTTTTGTGAGGGTGTTTTCAGATGAGATTAATATTTAAATTGGTAGATCAAGTAAAGCAGACGGTCCTTCCTATTGCAGGCGGCTTCATCCAATCAGTTGAAAACCTGAATAGAACAAAAAGTCTGACCCTTCCCCAAATCAGAGAGAATTCTTCCTTATTGATGGCCTTCAAACTGGAACGTAGACCTTTTTTTCTGCCTTTAGATTGAACTGAAA